AAATGTTTCTATTTTTTAATACTGAATGTACTTGCAGGTATTTTTAAAAAAAAAAAAAAAAAAGTTGGTCTTGCTCTGTTGCCCAGGCTGTAGTGCAGTGGCTCGATCACCACTCAGTGTAACCTGGAACTCCTAGGCTCAAGTGATCCTCCCACCTCAGCCTAGCAAGTAGCTGGGACTACAGGTGTGTGCCATCATGGCCAGCTAATTGAAGGTACTGCTTTGATAAGTGTAAGTAACGGGCAAGTATGTTAGAGCCTTGGCTAGCATTCAGGTGCCCCAGGTGAAGAGGTGGTTGTTAGCTCAGAGGTAGCCAGCTACCCCTCCGCTGCATCAGAGACTAGAGAAATTGAGCCAGATATGTTTTCTCTGCTAGACCTCCACACCTTTTTGAGTTCTCCACTTGAACCACAATTAAAGGTTGAACAGCTCCTAATCTTTAAACCCCCACATCCAGATCATTAGCAAAGTGTGTGAAAAATGATCTTTCTCTCCTGTGACTGCAATGGAAGATCTTCATGGACCAGATTCCGAATCTGCCTGCTTCAGTTAACCTAGTACCATACACCCACCCTCAAAAGGGGGAGCAATAGCAGTGATGCAGAAGAACATGGAAAATGAGCTAGGCAAGAAAACACCTACCCCAGGTAAGTGAGCAAAATCCTGGTTCCCTACAGTAGGAACATCAGAGAACTAGCAGGATAATCCCCTAACTGCCAAGGGAAATCCTTCTCCCTCAACTGCAACCTCCATTTGAAAGCCCTAAAAACAGAATAATCTCTAGTCACTTGTGTATGAAAGACCAAATTCAGCTTAAGAGGATCTATTTGAGAGTATGAGCAAGTAATGTATGATACAATAGTCTTAATGTGTATATACAACAACAGTGTAATACAGGAGTTGGAAAACTTTCTATAAAGGTTCACATGGTACACAGTTTAAAGCTTTGCAGGTTATACAATCTACGTCAAATGATTCAGCTCTATGGTAGGAGCCTAAAGGCAGCCATAGGCAATAAGAAAATGCATAAACATGGCTATCTCCAATAAAGCTATTTCTAGAAAAGACCTAGATTAGACTTGCAGGACACAGTTTGCTAGCCCCTGGCCTACCCTGTGATCAAGGACTGACCTCAAGGACTGACTGTACTCTAGGCAAAGGATCAGACTGGGAGGTTTTTTGTTTGTTTCCTGCTGGGTTACCCAGCTGATGTTCCTATGATCATTTCCTGTGTTGGCCAGGAAATTCAGAAAGCTACTGGAACCTGACTTCAAAACCTCTTCAATACAAACTCTCACATCACTATCCAATATTTCAATGATCGTCCATGACTCTAAACAAAACGCTCTTCCTGGCTGAAAAAAATGCAATGTATATACCCAGTAAATATATTTTCTGGTATATTTTCTTAATATTTAATTCAGGTCATGGCTAATACTCAAATTACTTACTAAATGACTCTTGATGAACAACGATTGATTTTTGGTTAACCAGCTCAGAAGGGAAATTTATAATTCTTAAACTGATATATCATAAACATTAATATTACATATGTATATATCTACCACAATAAGTTCTCTGGAGCTTTACTTCTCAATACATCTAATTTCATTTTGCTAAACTTGCATTTTAATTATGTTTTTCCAAATGGAAACATGAAACTGTTTCATGTACAGAAAATAGCCACTTAGGATAAAATAAACACAATTTTATTGGCATACAGAAATAATTTTAATTAGACTAGTGATTCTCGGTGAGCTTGCCCAACAATGGAATCACATGGGGAGCTTAAAAACAACAACAAAAAAAAGATGCTTGAGTCCCACTCATCAGAGACTCTTATTTAATTAGTCTAGAATGAGGCCCAGGCATTGGAATCACCATTCTGAAGTGATTCTTCTAAGCAACCTGGAAAAACAGCCACTGATTTAGACTCTTACAGCTGTAGGTTTCCATCCCTTGCTCAGGTGTACAAGTATACAAAAAAAAAAAAAAAAATCCACAGAAAAAATTCATTTAGCATGTAATTTAATTTGAATCTTATTGCAAAGATCCAAAGGTACTAACAAAGTTACCAATGCCACAGTTTTATGCAGAAAATGAGTATTGTTTCACCAATGGGATAGTTTATCTACAAAGCGATAGTTTCAGTCTACCTATGTGTATTTTAAAATGTTGGCCAGGCACAGGAGCTCATGCCTGTAATCCCAGCACTTTGGGAGGCTAAGATGTGAAGATCATTTGACACCAGGGGTTCAGGACCCTGTCTCTACAAAAAAACTTAAAAATTAGCCAGGCATGGTGGCATGAGCCTATAATCCCAGCTAATTAGGAGGCTGAGTCAGGCGGATCACTTGAGCCCAGGAGTTAAAGGCTGCAGTGAGCTATAATTGTGCCACTACACTCCATCCTGGGCAACAGAGCAGGAACCTGTCTCAAAAGGATAAAAAAGAAAAACCAAATTTAAGTTAAATGGATTAGGAAACAAAGAGGCAAAAAAAAAATCAATATTTGCAGATAATGACTGCCCACATGAAAAATCCATGAGAATCAACTGAAAACTTAGAGAAAATAAGAGGGGTTCACTAAAGTGACCACATAAAATAATTATATGAAAGTATCTAGCATTCTTCCATGCCAAAAACAACCAGCTAGAAAATATTAGTAAAAAGATCTGCAGTTTATAACTGCAAAACACAGGTAACTTGTAATAATAAACTCATAGGACATGTAAGGAAATTATAAAACTCCACTGAAAGATTTAAGAAAAATACAGAGACATAAGTTGTTTGGGGATAGAATGATCCAATATTATAAAAAGATCCACATTTTCAACTTACCATGGGTTTATCAGGATGTAACCATATTGTAAGTCTAGGAGCATCATTTATATAAATGTAGCATTTCAATTAAATGGGAGAAAATACGGAATTTTTTTCAATAAAAGGTATTGGCTAGCCATTTGGAAAAAAGTAAGCTGAATATTCACATAAGAGTACAAAATGAAATGTATATGGATGTCAGCTTCAGCACTTTCTGTAATGCAAAAAAACTGGAAAAAACCCTGAAGGCCCATTTAAAGAGAATTGGTTAAACAAATAATGGTATGTCTATACAATGAAATACTATAAATGATTTAAAAAGAATAAAGTTAGATACTAATGAACTGAAAAAAATCTTAAGCATGTGTATTTACATACAAAAGACAATCTATAAAACAATAGTATAGTGAAATATCTTATTTAAAAAAATACACTGAAAATGCAAGAATATACATCAAATTGTTAACCAACGGTTAAGTCACTAGACTGGGGCTGTGGGAAAATTTTGCATAGTGCGCTACATACTTCTGTAATGTTTACAAATGTTATAATGTTTATTTGTAGTAAAACTATAAACAAATATTTCAGTAAGTTTGGCCACAAAATTACAAAATAAATTGCTTTGTGTATGAGATAACAAGTGTTTGGATTTGCCATAGCAATAGAACTTGATTTAGTGACTAAGACAGAAATGGCAAGCAGAGGGGCTATGTATTATCTCCGCAGAGAAAAATTAATTAACAACTTGAAGGCAAGGACATAAAGTTCATTACACTTAAACCAGCAAGGGAAAAAAAAGTTCATTACACTAAGACAGGTAAATCAGATACCTGGGGAGCATGGCCTACTAGGACACTGCATCTGATATTTCCCAACTAAAGATCTTCACCTAAGAGAGTTTCCGTCTGACTCTTTCTAGACTTAAGGCAGATTTTTCCAGATGCAAAGTGTTCTTCAGTTTGCCCCTACTGACTGTCCTGGAGTCTAAACTTGGTGATCCTCACAGCATAGGGCAAGGGTAATCTATTCACTCAAACTGTTCCTTCAAGATAGGGG